AGGAGGCGTGGCCGGGCAGCCTCCGTGCCCCGGGGGGCGGCAGGGAGCCTCCGGCTGGGGGGCTGGGGGAGCGCGGGGGGTGGCTCCCCCTGAGGCGGTGCTGTGCGCCGTCAGCGTCATCCAGGACCTGTTGAGGAGCTGTTCCAAATGTCGGACTGCCACCGGCTTCTGTTGGGCTTTAACCGATGAAGGCTTAAGCCTTGAAATGCGTGCTGGTCGAGACCTGAAATCGCGAGTGGCCGGGGAGCGAGGAGCGGGTGGCTTCATGCTCCGCGGGGTGTGGAGAGGAGGGAAACCACGGGCTTGGTAAACCTGAAGCGGCTGCACCTGGGAAACGTGGAAGTGTCACAGCTGAAGGAGCTCGGCTGTGAGTGATCCTTGAGTAAAAACAACTGTGCCTAATATCTACGTGTCACCTTTTATTTTTGAACCAGTTACAGAAAGATTTGGAAGAGGTCAAGGAATTGCTCACAAAAGCCACGAGGAAGCGTGTTCGTGATGTCCTGATGACAGAGAAGCACAAGCTAGAGCTAGAAATCAAGAATCAGCCTGCACCGAAGCCAAAAGATGTGGCAGAGGAAGAAAAGTTGTCACTGGGAGGGTACACAGTGAAAATAAACAATTATGGTAAGTTTACTGTTCTGAACACTTACTAGAGCTCCAGCATCTCTCTGAAGGGAAGGCAGGGAGGCATTAGTGTGAGTTACAGTTGCTGCTTAGTATTTTAGAGAAGCCTTCTTCAGTGTTTACCTCATCCTGGAGACCCTGCTTTGAAAGCTTACTACGTCCTTACGGTGCCGTCCCAACCAGAGTCTGTAGTCATTCTCTTTTTGTGATGGTTACTGGTGGGATGCATCGATGATCCCTGGTGTGCCAACAGGTATTTTTCCATTGCCTAGTAAAAAAAAAGAGTGCGCTTTGGCTTCTCTGCTCGCCATGTAGGTGAGAGGAGAGGGAATTGCTCAAGATACGTGTCATGCGGGGAGCAGGGGAAAAAGTGGGTCAAGGAAACTGCAGCAAAAGCAGATGGCTACCTCTGACTCCCCCTGCACAGAGAGAGTTGCTCTCTGTTTACCTGAGCCGATACATGGCTTTTCTCAGAGATATGTGGCTTTTCTCAGAATTTGCAGGAATTAGGGAACAGGACTACATGTGAGGACCTCGTTTTGCTCTCAAATTATTCTTGAGTAATTCATGTCTTTCCGTTATCCCTCTGTTTCAGTATGGCAGAGATCCTGATCAGTGCTAGGGGACTTTGCAGGGGGGAGGTGGAATGGAATGGATGAAGTATGGAGAAAAGGTAGAACTTTAATCTCTTTTTTTTCACTTGCAGGTTGGGATCAGTCAGATAAGTTCATTAAGATTTACGTCTCTCTAAGTGGAGTCCAGAAACTTCCAGCTGAGAACGTGCAAGTGAATTTCACAGAGAGGTGAGTTCATCTTATTGCTCTACGCCACGGGGGAGAGAGCATGGTTGAAGAACAATTTAAATGCAGGAATGTGTTGTGTTGAGTTCTGTTCTGTATCAGCCCTTACTCCCCCACCCACTCCCTTTCTCCCTTTCCTCTTTTTTTTTTGTTTTTTTTTTTTTTTTGTTACACTTGAGCAGTATTAGCTTTTAGTAGCACTTAGCATGTACCCTTAAGTGTAGCTCTCGTTAGAGGGTACCAGGGTATTTTCATTTTACAAATGCTTGTTGCATCTCCTCGTGCTTGACAGGATATGTAGTGTTAGCCCTGTTTTTTGATGGTGGTAGAACTGAAGTGTATGTTAAGAAAACCTGCCTTTCCAAGGTTGTAGGACATCAGCGAGGTAGAACCCTAGAGGTTTTGATTTGTTGTGAAGTCTGGACAGGTCCTTTTAAGTCCTCAGTATTAAATCCAATTGAAGATTTGCAAGAAGAAAATCATTCAGGCCTGTGGACGCTCTTTCCAAAGAAATATGTCTGCTGAAGGGCCTTCAGACGTTTTTGGTGGCAAGGCACAATAGTCTTACAATAATTGGAATATCTGTGCCCTTCTCCCCCCCCCCCCCGCTTTCTGGTTCCAGGTCATTCGATCTGCTAGTGAAGAATCTGAATGGGAAGAACTACACCATGACCTTCAACAACCTCCTGAAACCCATCTCTGTGGAAGGCAGCTCTAGAAAGGTCAGTGCACCTCAGCTGTTAAGAGGTATTTAGGTCCCTCACAAAGTACCATGTACTACAGTCAGGCAATGAACAAGAGACTCAGTGCTAACCTTCAGTCCCTCCCTTCTGTCTGTAAAGTCTCTTCACTGTGAACGTGATTCTTACTAATCTGTAATTGTCATAACTGGAATTATTCTCTGGAATCCATGGGCTCCTATTTCAGAAGATTGTGTCTGGATATTGTACACTTTTTTTTAATAGCTCTCCAACAGGATTTCAGAAATAATTAAGCAGAAAATTCCACTAAGCATCCGCTTGTATCCCTGTGCTTTTAAAACACCTCTGCAAAATTCTTTGTGATTTTAAGGTTTAAGAGACTTGTCAGCAGACCGAAATCCTGGGAAACTTAGAAAGGCTTAATACCCACAGCCAAGTCTGAAACCTACTCTGCCTCTGCGTATAGGTGTGTTGCTCCAGAGCTGAACACTAGTAACGTTTTACTGCTGATGAATGCAACTGGTGCTGGTGCCCCTAACTGTGCTACTTGCAGCACCTTTCCGGGCTTAGTGTCACGTACCTTGTGTGCGTTCTGTGCAGTTGTGCGCTGCACTTAGTGACGTCGGAGGTAGAGAAATGATGGTTCAGTTTGAAATTGCTCTAAAACTAGAACAGCGTAAGATTAAAACAACTGAAATAAATGAGGGTGATGCTCTGGTGATTTTTAACACGGCGTAAAAGCAAGTGGTGCTCGTGTACTTGTTAAGCCAAGCTAAAGCTCCAGCAGACTCTTGTCTGCTGTGGCACGCGGGAGTTCTTTGCGAAATTTAGGTCAGGGTTGCAATGAAACGGGCTTTGCTTGTGACTTGCAAACATATTGCAAGATTAAGCAATGCCCTAAAAAATGAGTATCTTGTCCTTGGAGAAATAAATTGGGAGAGCATCTACCTGAACTTGGTATTCTAGAGGAAGTCTAGTAAATACAGACGCCTTTTACCCGACATTCCTGGGTACTTTTAGCATCCTGAGAATCACTGAGTGGTGTTTCCGCAGCACTGTACGTTCTTCTGTATCGGTACTACAGCACTGTACGAGTAATATATTAATCACACCATTTAAATTGTCTGCAACAAGGTTAATACTTTGTACCCCAAAGCTGAGTCCATACTTTAATTTTTGTATGCCACGTAATAATCAATAGCTGAGATAAATGTTTCGGGAATTTGCGAGTATAGAAAGAGGTTTATGTTATAGGCTAACCTTACTCATTGTGGTTGTGGCAAGCATCCCTTTGTGAAGCATTCTAAATTGATGTCTTGCTGTTCACCATGCAGATAAAGACAGACACGGTCCTTGTGATGTGTAAGAAGAAGCGGGAGGAAAAATGGGAATGTCTCACTCAAGTGGAAAAAGAAAGCAAGGAGAAAGAGTAAGTGTCTCTTCAACCCTCCATCTCTTTTCCATTTCTTGCTCTCCAGATTGCCTCAGGACCGCTTGGGGAGCAGATCTGTGCTGTCCTGACTGTGCTGTCCGGGGGACAAGCCCCTAAGATGTTTGAGAATCATTAGGTTGGGATTTTTTTGGTACTAGTAGGACTGGCAGTGGAGGAGATACACTTTGCGTAGCTGTTTGCCACTCTTCTCCTGTTCTATTGCTAATCATGAATGCTGCATCACAGGAAATACGATAGATAAGACCTGCAGTGAGAGTGCTAAAGGTAATCAACCAGTTCAAGATTCACTTATATTTTGATGGCTGCATTCATTGCAAAAACTGCTCCAGTGAGGTTAGGGTTTTGGGTTTTTTTAGGTTACTTGTATATTATATAAAAATAGATATATATTCCCTGCAGCTATGCTGGTCAAAATAATAATTTATTTTATCACCTGTGTGTGAAGTACCTGCACAAAAATCGCAGTGCCCTTTTGGCAAAACAGGTCTTTGTTTACCGAGATCATTATACAAAGTCTCAAGCTAATTTCTATCACTTCAAGTGCTTGGGAACAGTCCTACAAGTAGCTTAGGCACTGGGTATATAAGGGTGGTAAATTACAGCAGGAAACACCTGGGGACAAGAGGCAATTTTTTTAAGTATATATGTAAAAATGTAGTAGTTATGTAATAATTTTATATTATTTTACAATACATACACATGTCCTTCTCCAGAAAACCCTGTATATACCCACCTTGAAGCATGGAAACACTGACTTCTAAGAAAGTTATGCCTGCCAGCAGCTATTCATTTCTGTATGTTGATAGGATGACTTGCTAAAACTGATTATTCTCACTAACCATACCTGAATTTGGAGCAGAAGTACCTTCCCCTCTCAAATGACATCACTGGAGATTAAGAGAAGGCGGCTTGACTACTGATGCACTTTGCTGGAGGGACAGGGTCGTTCTGTTAAACCTGTATGTCTGTTAAACCTGTATCTCACGCAGAGCAGTCCTGCACGCCGCCCGGCCTGTCACCATTAGTATTGCTGCCTTACTCGCAAGCGTTGAGGATTTACAGTGTGACAAACGAGTCGCTTCAGAAACACACCTCAGGCTTGGGTCCTCGAGGCTGGTGGTTAACGCCGTGCTTGGGGAGCTTGCTCCCTCTGCTGATCTGGTTTGATCTGCATGTTTTTCAGGTGGCCTGCAGAAACAAGTAACGACCTAAGGGATCTTTGAAAACAGGATAGAGGCAGTTTTGCTAGAGAGGGCATTATGTATAGTCTGGTAGTGTGGGGCATGTCATACCTAGGTGCTTACCTTGTGGGTGGCACTGTTTGTCGACTGGCTTCTTAAATTGAGGATACTGCTTTGAAATGCAAGGTGTTAAAAAACCGAGTCAACCTCTGGAGATAATCTAAAAAAATGGGAAGCAGAAAATGCCTTTTGGGTCACTTCAAATAGCTCAGTGTGATCATTTTTCTGGTTTTATTCACTTTTCACATAACGGCACAGATGCTGCCACTTTCGGAGTCTGTCATATTCCACTCCTGCTTCCTAAAGTTAATTTTGGGTGGTGCTTCCAGCGTCATGTTTACTGCAAAATGCTTCCTGTCATCCTGAGTGGGACAGCTCTACGTATTTAGTTTAAGGGTACTCTTTAGGATTCTCCCTACTCGGAAGCTGACTGAGGTGTGACTGAAGACTGACAGGGTCTAAAGACTTTGCCAAAGCAAAATCCTCACTGTTACCAAGATGTTTCAAACAAATACTAACTTCTTTGCGCAGAATTGTTGGATATACCCGATTTCTCATATGTATCCATCTTGCAGGAAGGCTGCCTATGACACCTCGGATCCTAGTGAAGGGCTTATGAACCTTTTAAAAAAGATGTATGCAGAAGGGGATGATGAGATGAAGCGCACCATCAACAAGGCCTGGGTTGAAAGCAGAGAAAAGCAATCCAAAGGGGACATACCAATGGATATTTGAAAGTACTTGAAGGGCCGCCTTAATACTGATCTTCCATGTGAGACATGCTGTGCTGCAAAGATCATTGTTTACACAACCTTCTTCCAAGCAAAGACAGCCATTTGCCATTTCAGGTTGGAGAAAATATTTAAATAAAATAGCTTATAAAGCATTTCTTTCAGTCAAGTGGTTCACCATTTCCTGAAGAGTGGAGCATAGGTATATCCTTACCCCTCCCTGAAAAAGCATCTCAGACGAGTGGAGAGCGTTACAAAACTCAAAACGGAATGTAAAAGAAAAGGAATCCTAACCTAGGATGGGTCACAGCCTCTCTGTTGCAAGTGACAGCTGTACCCACCTGGTTAATGGGGTTGTCACGCTCACTACACAGGGTGTGGTTTTTCGATCAGATGTGGGAAAGTATGTTGAAGGATGTCACAAAGGGAGAAAAAATTCTGAAGAAAGAACCACTATCTCAAGCACTTGCTAGTTGAGCAGAAAGAATATGCTGTTACTCTTGTGGTATTAAAATGTAATGATTACTCTCATAACGTATCTGCTGGCTGTTTAACCAGTTTAATTTTGAAAAGGAAAGCAGCTGTTTAACCAGTTTAATTTTGAAAAGGAAAGCAGCTCTTTAGCACCTATGCTAACTGTGACCTCCTTGGGGTGTCTTTGAGGTGGCATCAGTCACAGGAGGGCAGTAAGCTGCTGATGCTGGACAGCGAGTTCACCCTGGCTCTAGCAGTACATAAGGAAAAGAGACAAGCTCCACTTTCTCCCATCAACTGTCAAGGGTTTTAAGGTAACAGCAAGAAGTATATTGAGACAGGTTATACTCCAAACTTTTCACTCAACCGGGGGTGATGGGTTGCTGTCAGTTTGCTGCCTGTGTGTCTTCCATCTGGGGGCAGTACCCTTTCACTTGGCCTGTTGGTTGCAGCCCCTCAGCCCCACTGCTAGGGAGGGGGACGGAGCAGCCATTTCCCCTTTATTGCCCTGCTTTGAAGAAGAGTACAGGGGAAACCTGAGCTTAGCAGCAGGCTTCTTGCTATTGTTGTTTCCTTCCTGCTTCCTTCTCCTGTCTCTCCCGAGGACAGATTTGTTTGATGTTACCTGATGAATTAAGGAAGCCATTACTCTCCTGTTACGGTCTGGACTAGGACTTACTTGCTACCTTGTTCTTAAAGCATTGGACCAAGCACTGCACTGCAAGCAGGAGATAAATACTAGCACATTGTAGTTTCTAACAGGTCTTTTATCCACTTTGTCTGCTTGTTAATAATACTAAGTTTGCATAGCAAGAGTATCTAAACTTGAGGCCATGTTTTATTTTCAGTTTGTGCTCATCCTTGTTCATGGCAGAATACTACTTTGCCCTGTTGTACAATTTCATTTATGCTTTTACCCAAATGACCATGGTGAACTTACCCTATGGTGGCAAAAAAACTGCTTAAACAAGCCTTGTGCTGTATGTCTTTATTTCTGACAAACCTCAGCTTAGTTCTGCAACAATTACGTAGTGATTTTTTCCCCCTCAAAATAAAACTTTGCCTCTCATGCAGACCAGCTTAGTGCAGTTATGCTGCTTCTCGTCACTTAGCTGATACCAGTCACAATCCAGTAAGGGAGTTCAATGAACCAGCATGGCCTCTCATCCTTCCCTTATTAGTTTGATATTGATGCTGGACTCTTTAGAACAGTCTTGCTTTAATCACTTGAACACATCAACTGAGCCTGTTTTGTGTTTTCTGCCTGAATGTATATTCATGCGGTGATCTACCACATAGCCCTCTGTATCCCAGACATCTGAGCATGGTCAGCAAAATGGCGGAAAACGATTCTGCTGAGCCTCCAACGCCGCTTCACCCCCCGAGGGCGGGATGTCAGGACACACCTATTTCGGATCCTCACAGGGCAGCTGTCCCGGGGCAAGTCAGCAATCTCTTTATCAGCCACTTCCTAAAACAGAAGACCACAGCACAAGAGTTTATCTGTGTTCCCCAGGATTTTGAGGGGGCTTATTGCCACACCTCAAAATCTAGCTGTAGAGTAGGTACCACCACAAGCTTCTCTGCCACCTCATGACTATGCTCTGCTATTTGAGCAGGGACGTGCGCCTGCTTTCCTCACTTGACCCTCTCCTTCTGGGCATCCCAACAGTGGATGTAAAATGATCCACACGGAGACTCCAAAGTTAACCTTATTACACAGACCGACAGACAACCTCATGCCAGTAATTATCACTAGTCAAAATCTGCTTGGCTTTGTCCATGTCACAGGGTGGGCTAGTCCTTTAAGGTGAGCTGAAGTTAAATATTTGTTCCTTATTAACTGCCTTCCCAGCTACTATGCTTTGATGTTAGGGAAAACAATTTCATCATCTAGTGTACTTTGGAAGGAGCCGCAGGCAGAGAAGGACAAGTCAAAGTGCCTCTGTTCTAAGGAGAAGGCTTTCCACGTACAACAAGAGACCTCGACAGTTTTCAGGTAGCAGCAAATGGAATTTCAGAAGAACAAGTGAGCCCAGCAGGGAAATGCAGCCTAAAGAAAGTCACTTGAGGCTAGGTCAGTGGCCCTAACCACAGCATTTTTAATATATTATTTTCTAAAGGAAAGAAGGGCTCCTAAGAATCCTGTGTTCAGTCATGGTAGGAAGTCACAGTTGGAGGTAAAACGGAAGTCTGAGGCTAGACTACAAACCCCCCTAACATTGCAGGAGTGCTGGAAAGCAGTAGCATAAGGCTACCTGCTAAAGGGGTGTTTGCCTTCAAGGGAGCACGGCATCCAGGCAGCAGCAACGTGACCTTCGCTTTCAGTAACAGCAAGGTCAGCAGGGTTTCTTGTCTTCAGCACATATTTCAGTGACCAGTTTTCTCCAGTTGTGCATGTTATTTGCGTATATAGCTGTATATATATATACACCATCTACTACAGCTAAACAATTGTAGTAATTTTTCGCCTATTTACTACTTAGGATTTGATTCAGAAAGCAGCCTCTACTTTAAGAGAAGACTTGTAGCTTAATTTAAGACTTTAATTTTGGAGCCCAAATAATGTTTTGTAGGGAAGGAAAAAGTTATTTTCTCGGAGTCTTTTTCTTCAATCTAACTGCTGCTATGACTTTGTGACTTCAAAAGGTGACAAAAGCAGCTGAAGAATACCAAAAGCAAAGCCGGCTGCAATTCACTTGGGTTTTTTTTTCCTCCCCGGCAAGGACATCCAACGCAGACTGGACTTGCCAAGAGAGTGGTAAAGTCAGTACGTAAAGCCAGATTCACACACCTTCCCTCCCAGAATGTTTAAGGGTGAAAGGATCTCCCCACAACTAGGCATGGCCAGATGAAATACGTACAGGAATACTGCAAGAATATTTCTGATACTTGCAAATGTTTTTAATGCTTAGTAAGGAAATTTGAGAGCAGGGCAGTGAATATGTGCATTTTTAAGAACAGACCTAATGCCCAGATCTGATACAACTTTTACATGCTTGTAGCTCAGGCAAGGAGTAAACTTAAAAGTATTTCTCATTGAACAAATTGGTGGGTTTGGCTGGATCAGGCTTCCAGCTTTTTAAATAAGCAAAAAAACCCCTAAAGTTTACTTAGAAAGCTATAAAAGTAACCCTATAATATCCCATATTATCGGAAATAAGGAAAATAGCTTTCTGAATATAAGTTAGTGACGGCTGTGAGGGAAGAAAATGAGACTTCATCATATGTAGTATTACATATAGTGCTTACATGAGAAGCACTGGTTTAAAAAAAAAACAAAAAACAAAACCAAAACCCACAACCCAACAAGCACAACCTCTAGTCAGGAGAATACACTGTTGTTCTGAACACCCCCAAAAGGCAGAGGCTCTGGTGACGCCTGGGTGCCAGCAGCAGCTATGCAATATGACATAATTCCGTGCTCCTGAGTTAAGGAAGCGCAAGCGCGCGCGCCGCAGCATCCTCCAGTCCACGTAGTAGCTCCGCACTTGCCTTGTGCACAGCGAGGGGAGAACCTAATTAAAAAAAAAAATTAAGTTTGTGATACCCACCTGTTGCCCGCACGGTTTGCCCAGTTCACAGAATCACACAGAAAGGCAAGGGCTGGAAGGGACCTCGGGAGATCGTCCAGTCCAACCCCCCTGCTAGAGCAGGGCCACCCAGACCAGGTTGCACAGGGCTTCGTCCGGGCGGGCTCTGAATCTCTCCAGAGAAGGAGACCCCACAGCCCCCTGGGCAGCCACGCATGAACTGTTTCCATCAATGTCTCTGTCAGGCTTTCCCAAATTGCTTTCTTGCAGCGCAGCTCCTGCCCAAGAACCGTGGCGCGCGATCCGGTTTAGTTGGCAAAAGCCTGCAAGGAGCTTTCAGTACCGGAGGCGCGAACAACCCCGGAGTTGCACCCCTCCCTTCCTCCGCCCGCGCTGTTCCCGCCGCCGGCGCAGCCCGGGGCCCAAGC